GGGTGACCCACAGGACAGCAGACTTGGAAGACCTGTTGCCCTATAGGAGGAGGGAGAGCATGGAAGGAAGGAGGGGTGGTTGGAAAATGTGTTTAAGACTGTTTCATTTCTCACTCTTTAGCTCTTATCCTGTTAGTAATAAATTTTAGTACCATCCTCATGTTGAGTTTTGTTTTGCCTGTATGACTTCTCCCAGCTCTTAGTGACTTTAGTGGGTGCCTAGAATACGGCCAGGGTCAACTCACAACATATAGAAAGATCACTGTGGCCTAAGAGTAGGCTGCTTATTTATAAAAATAAAAAAAAAAATTTTTTTAAAAATTGAGTGGGGTGCATGAAAGAATGACCAGCATTAGAGACATTGCATGCCTAAAGTTGGTACCACATGTCATGGTTTGAGACCAAATTGACTGTGTGGAGACTAAACACACTGACTGCTTAGAGGCCAGAACACTCCTAGTCATGGATACATGTGATGATAACAAGAGAGCACTTCCTTGTCCCACAGGACAGATGAGGTGATCCAGGAGAGAAGACATGCAGGTATAACAGTTCCTAATATGATCTCCTGCCTCCTGGAGGGAGATGACATGGTCTGTGTGAAAGCAGGATGGATCAGCACAGTGGGTCCAGCTGTGCCATGCACAGCCTTGGGATCCCATGATGCCCCCTTGTTAAAGCCCTCAGGCCCTCCCAGAGCTTCTCAGTGGGTCTTGCTCTACATTCTCTCTTTAAATGTTTTAAGATTAGTAACCTGGAGAATCTGCAGAGAACTTAGTGAAATGAAGACTGTTGAATTACAACTTTAGTCATAAGAACTAGTGCTGCAAGGGAGAGGGGTAAGATCTGAAGGCTCATCCTATGAGTTCATCGAATGGGTTTTACTTTAAAAATATACAAGGCTTCAAAAATCTACTTGCTGGACTTATTAAAAGGGCCTTCAGTTCTTTTAATACCTCAAGAACAAGCACACAGGAGAAGACACTGCACACGTTTCTCAGGAGGTCAAATAACACACTTCTACTGGCAAACTTTAGAAAATAAGGGAACTTGGTAAAGGTTTAAAGGGCAATATTGAACCAAAATAAAGCATTCCACAAAGCATTGACTTAGCACATGCTAACACACACAACCTAGCAAAATTCAACCCATCCAGCTTTAAGTTACCCAAATATCAAGGAGATTAGGAGAAGAAACAAAGAAAGAGACAGAAGAAGAGAAAATTACTGCTACCACCCCAGATGCAGCACAGATCCAGCTACCAGGAACCCAGGAGATGGCAGGGCTGTGACCACACAAGGGCCACATGGTGTTGATTTTATCTGCTTTGGTCCCTTGTGGCCACACCCTCCAGGCAGGACTTCTGGCCCACTGGCCACTTTGGGTCTCCAGGGTGGGGTGTGGGCAGTGCTCCCAGTGTCCAGTGACAGACAGCTGCTCTGGGGCTGCCCAAGGAGGCTCCAAGGGGCTGGAGTATGGAACAAGGCACTATTCCACCTTCGTGAAATTCGACCTGTCTCTTCCCTGTACACACACACACTTGAGTTCGTCCAAGCCAATAATTAATATAATAATCCAGTGTCTCATAAGAGGAGCAGTCTTTCTTCCCCCTCCCTCTACTGATTCTGTCCCATCCCCCAAAGTTCAAGCAGCTCTTTACGCAACAAAATAATAAATCATCTCAAGGCTCTGATTCTACTGAAAATTAATGCAAGAAAAAACTTTTTTCTTTTTACATTATGCAAGTTCCCCAACCTTTTCACCATGCAGATCTGTATGGTTGGGTTATTGTGGAGAAAGAGATGCTTCTCTGAGCAGTTCACTTGTGTCAGCTTAATGCTCTGATTTTAACTGACAGGAGGTCAGACAGTTCATACTACCAAGCATCACAGACTAGAGCATATATTATAAGAAACACAACAGACATTAAAATTTGCTACTCTATTATTTTGCTACTACTAATAATAATTATGTTATTATTAGTAGTAGTAATAATAATTTCATGAAGTATTTACAGCTAAACTGTCATATCCATTTTATGTTACGAAGATTAATACCACACATAGAAATCAAAGAAAAAACACACTTCACGATTACATACCTTTGGCTATGCTGCTTTCGGTTTACTACACAAACATGCCTTCATGCATAAATAATAAAGACCAGGAAACAGTCCCTTCTACGCTCTTGGCATTTATCCATCATCCAAATATGAAGACAAACATTCAGTCAGTCTGCTGTTCCATCCAACTCTTTCTCTAAAAAGAAGGGAAAACACAAGCTTTAAATGTTGCAATTAATAATGTCCAAACTAAAGATCAGGGCTATCAGTTCCACTGCTATACTATTTGAACATTTAAGGAAAAGAGAGTATGAGAGTACAAAACAGAACAACGTAACCAAGAAAACTCACTCGTAGTCTAGCTGTGAGGAAGGCAAAAGACAGAACAATCTGCACCCCAAAGTTTTCCAAAAGTTAGTACTGTAAACAAAACTTAACTGGAACTGCAGGCAAAAAGTAGCCTAAGAAATTATGACAAATGTCAGTGGATATAGCACCTTCATGGAGTATAAAAAAGACAAAAGGAATGAGGAAACTGACTGCAGCAACAAGGAATTCACTAGTAAGATTTTACAAGAAACAAAGCTTAAAAGGTAAAGGAAGAAATAATCAACATTTTAAAAAAAAATAAAAACATAGAAAATGACACACATATTTGAATTTTATCTTCATGTCATCTTGATATTTTTGGCAGAAAAGGTTCATTTTTTTGACATTAACTACTCCCAAAACCCTTGCAGCAAGACACCCCTAATTTTCCTCATTAAGTTTTTAATTGAAAAAATAGTTGCCTTCAGTCTCAGCACCACTTACCATAACTCTAACAACAGTTTGGAAATAACTACACAAGGCAAAGGAAAAGCAGCTGATCCAATCTATCTGAAAGTTATTAAAGTGTGCAATACTATATTGGAAACAACTGATCTGGCAATAATGTACACCAGTACATTTTAAGACACATAATACAATAATGGGAAGCCAACAATGGATACTATTGACAAATGTTAACAGAAGGTGTTTGGACGATGGACGATGCATCATATTTAAAAACTGAAATATAAATCCATGTTATATTGCAATATAAAGTAAGATATGTTAATGGAAACATGATGACAGTCATGAACATTATTAATTCAAACAAGAATCCAACAATTATTCAGAAAGACGAATCAAAAGTACTGATTTAATGAAAAAATGAACTTTACTATCATGGAATGTAAGTGCATACAGTTAGGAATAAAAACTGGACCTATAACTGGGAACAAATAAGGTCAAGACAGATCCAATTATAAAAACAAAGGATTGCTATAAAATATTACAAGCAATTGTTGTGCATATAATGAGAGTTGGCAAAATAGAGGCAGAGCAAAGACATCATAGCAGACCTACTGCAGGGTGAACACAAGATACAGGAGGAAGCAAAGGGTGGAAGAAGAGGAAGAAAATATCTGTAGTCTTTAGCTGATGTATAGCACCAGCATTTGTTTAATAGCCACAAAGATAAACTGATTACAAATTAGCAGTTAATAATTATGAAGGAAGTACAACACTATCTGTTGAACTTAAAGGCAGATGTTTCAGAGGGCTGAAGTCAGAAGCCCAGAATCATGAACAGCAGTGGGGTGCTGTTCATTTTTGAGGACTGTCCAAGTCAGGTGTCCCATGTTAGGCTACGTGGTTTTGATATTCACGACACCTCTCCTAATGTATTTGCAGCCAGTTCATAAGAAGCCTGTACCATCCCATCAGACACTGGAAAAACATTGCCTGACCCACAGAATCACAGAAAGGGTAAAGTGGAAGGGACCACAAGTGGGTCTTCTGGCCCAACCTCCCTGCTTAAGCAAGGTCATCCTAGACCACATTACACAGGACTGGACGAGGGAGATTCCACAACCTCTCTGACCAATCTGTTCCAGTGCTCAGTCACTTCCACAGTAACGAAAGCGAAACTTCCCGCGCATCAGTTTCTGCCCATTGCCACTTATCCTATCGCTGGGCATCACTGAGCAGAGCCTGGCTCCGTCCCCTTGGCACCGCCCCTCCCTGCCCCCAGATATTTACAGACATTGAAGAGGTCCCCTCTCAATCGCCTCTTCTCGAGGCTGAACAGGCCCAACTCCCTCAGCCCTTCCTCCTAAGAGATGCTCTAGTCCCCCAGTCACCCTCGTTGCCCTCCACTGGACCCCTTCCAGGAGCTCCATGTCCCTCTTGCTTTGAGGAGCCCAGAACAGCACTGCGGCACAGAGAGCAGCTCTGCCTTCTCTGTGGGGAGCCAAAAGAGGGGGCAGAGATGCCGGAAGCCCACGATTACCTACTGCTTTTCCCAACACCGCAGGACCTGGCAGGAGCCCCGCACCCGCAGAGAAGGGAACCGGGTCTCTTGGCGGCTGGAGCACCCGGGCGGCGCCGCTCCCGCTCCTCACCCGCTTCCCGCTGGCACGGGCGGGCACCCGGGGGGAGCCCTGACGGCCCCGGGGGGAGCCGTCACGGCCCGGGGGGGGTGCGGCCGCGCTGGCAGCGGGTGACAAACAGCAGCTCCAACCCCGAACCGGTCCCGCAGAGCCACCTGCGACACTCGCCCCGGCGCCGTGCCGAGGGCACCGGGACAAGCGGGAAGTAGCCGCCGCCACCGCTACGCTGTGGCTGCCCGGTCGCCCTCCCTCCCTCCCGGCCCTTCCAAAGGGCGGGAGTGCGCCCGGTCACCGCCCGCCAAGACCCTCTCCCCGCACGGGTCGCCCTCTCCGCCCCTCCTCTCTCTCCTCCCTTGGCCTCCCCTCCCCTCGCCTGCTCCGCGCCGCGCGGGCGGGGCCGTTACCCGGGACAGCTCCGGATCCTCTCGTGGGGCGGGACGGGACGAACCAAACCGAACGGCACCACACCGTGACGAGCCGGGCCGGGACAGGCGGAAGAGCCGCCGCGGGCGCGGCGCGTGCGCGCTGCGGGCGCGGGGGGGGCCGTTTCCGTGAGTCCGCCCGCCATTTTCGGGGGGGGGGGGCGGGGCGGAGCCGCCGTGGGGCCTTCGCTCGCACATTCCGAGCGGGACAAAGCCGAGCCTGTCAGGGTTCCCACTGGGATGTGAGTTCCTGTCGGTGTCCGCGAAGGCTGAGCCGAGGCCGGACACCTCGCGCGGTGCTCGGGCACGCCTGTTCCTGTGGGCCCGGTGCGCGGGCGTCGCTGGCGCAGCGAGGCGGGAGTTTCAAACTCCGCGGGCGGGGAGCCCGCGCGTCTGGGTATTCTTCGTCTCGGGTGGCTGCTGAGTTCTGTCTGCGTCAGGGGAGAAAAATCCGTAGGAGTTTTAGGAGGAATCTGTAAATGCTTCTGTGCTTCAGGTGCGCAGGTTTATTGGCAGAGCTGTGCTGGGATGGCGCAGAGAGAGGGGAGGGGAGTTTTTAAAAACCTGTTTGGACTTTTTTGTTTCCTCCGCCATGTTTTTCCTCCCCCTCCTCCCTTTTTCCTCCTCCCCCGTGTCATAAATCATACGCTTGGCTGTCTTTTCGACTAACCTTTGATAATGTGTGAAAGTATCTGTAGTTATTTTTAAGTAGTTAGCTTTTCTGGTTGTGTAAAAAATTTTGTAGAGCAGAATGCAGTCTTAAAACATTGTTTAAAAAACATAAAAGCTGTGTAGTTTTAACAAATTCTGGCCTAATGAGAAATTGAGACTTATTTTGGGGGGGATTGTTTGTTTGTTTATATTTACTGTTAATGATTTTCAGTGATTTCTAAGTATATGAAAATAAATCAAATTCTTTCTCCCTCCTTTGGGAGTTGCCATCTCTCTGAGCAGGTTGGGGGCTTGCGGTGAGTGAAGCTCTTAAATAAAATCTGAGTAGACAGATAATTTGTATTAGAAGTAGTTGAGCTATTTGTATAAAGGATCCAGATTAACTATTTTACAAAATACACTCTGAAAAAAGCAAAGACTGGTAGGTCTTGCAGGCTTTCATAACTCATCCTTAGATATATATTGAGTGTGGATATGGAAAACTTTAGTCCTCAAATAACTACACTTTATTGTAATGAAAAAGTGGGCCTTTGGGGTTTTTTTGTTTGTTTGTTTCCATTTTTTTTATACTTTTTTTCTTTACATTCCATAAGATTACAAATAATAAAGTGTTTGCAGTGTATTTGTCTTTCCCATCAATTAAGTACCATGTGATATTCCACAACAGTATTTAGCAACTGACTAACACCGTTTTTTTTTAAGAAATTGTATTGACGCAGACTGGCAGAAACCAAATGACAATATCAGAACAGTATCTCCCTTCTTTGCTAGGTGTTCTCTCACTGAAGCTGAATATCACACTTGTCTTTTGGGAAGGTTTGGATACCTCCCCTGTGCATCAGGGAAGCGATCATCCTGAACTTCAAAAAGTTATACCAAGTATTTGCATGCTTAAATTGTGCTTTTAGCTTATTTTATGTGCTTGAGGTATAACAACAAAAGCAACACATTGTGCTTTGTATGCATACAACTAAAATCAGGTTGAATGATTGTAGTAGTTAAAGAAATGGATTAGAGATGTGATTTCTGTTGAAAGTAAATCTTTATGTGAGAACTTGATTTAAAGGCAACCTGGAATCGATTAGCTGCCTTGCTTTAAAACAGATTTAGAGTATAACAGAATGCACTCTCCAAAGACAGGCTTGCTACTCTGACAGACTGTGATGATGTTAAAGGTGAGGGGCTGCTGAATTGAACATGGTTCAGTTCCTCACGTGTCTTAAGCAGATCTCCAAGCACTGGTAGGTCACTTAGTCATGATTTATTCAAAGAGCATTTTCATTTTTCTGCATATACAGTAATGTCAAAATCAAAAAGAAAGAAATACAAAACATGTCAGATTTTATTTTTACCTTATAAGAGAGAAAACAAATAAGCATGAGACAAACCTTGTGCAATAAGACAGTGCAGGAATAGATTGGCATTGTTAGGGGGGAAAGCAGAGTATGTGCTAGAGGCCTTGGTTAGAACTGGCAAGGGGTGGAAACCAGAAGAATAGTGAAAAAGAGGAAACTCCAGTGATGGGGTAGCATGGAGAGTAGTGCTGTATAAGTTAAATAAGAGACAAAGAGATACACCACCTAATGGTAGTATGTTTTCAACTGGCATGCATTATAGGTAGTGCCAGTCACACAATACCAAAGTTAACAGAATGCACACACACTGATGTGCTTCTGCAGTCAGGGTGTTAAAAATGTCAAAACATTCGGTGGAAGGGACCTCAGGAGCTCAGTGTGCTTCAAACTGAGAAGAGGTGGTGGTTGGTGGAACCCTGAGAGCTTTGTAACAAACCAGGTCATCCTGATCCTGTTTAGGGACTCTTTGGCCACCTAAAGTAGCAAATTGTTTGGAAACATGTAACATTTTTCTGATGAATGTATATATTCCTTGCTAATAAATATCTGTACCATCTTGAGCTAGGTGTGCACTTATCCCCTGTGCATCTGGTGCCATAATAGTGATGCCTGCTTCTTAATATGGCATCGATGTTAAGGAGTTTTATTCCCGAATTTTGATGACAATCACTGCTGATTCCACCAGTACTGGTTTAAAGTAGTAGGACAGTATGCCAGCTGGATGTTAAGAATCTCCAAGAATGGAGATTCTGCAGCCTCTGAGCAACCACTGCTGCAATACCCTCTGTCATTTTTTCCTGAATTCCAACACAAATTTCCCAAACCAGAATCTGTGGGTGTTGACCCTTCTAGTATCATCTTGGAATGCTAAGGAAAGTGTCAGTTCTGTGGTGATTGAAAATATTCTTCAAGTAGCTTTAAGCTACCTCTGTTTGAATGGAAAAAATTTAATGTGGATCCTACTTTAAATCTGGAATCCTCAGGAATCCTATGTTTTTTCTTTTTTTTTTTTAAATAAAGCTTGGATTGTGCTTATATGTAAGGGACACATGAGACTTGGAAATGAATAATTTTTATTGGTTGTTTTTTTTTTCCTCAGCTGAGTTCGTTTTTATTTATATTCAGCTTATTAGTAATGCAGATGTTCAGTCCAAAGAAGGTATTTAGTTATAAACCATCTGTGAACTGGAATCACTACACACTTAGAAAGCTTGATTGCAAGTGTTCTTGGCTATAAAAGTAGAACTGATTATGACAAATATATTTCTTTTTCAAACCTCGCATTCACATTGTGTTACACACATTTCATGTTATGTTCTGAAAGTATTTTACTTTTTTGGTCTTCACAGGTAAAACCTTCCTTCTGACAACAAAGAAGCTAGAACAATGGGAGTGACTAATCTGTGGCAAATCCTTGAGCCTGTGAGACAACCTGTCAACCTGAGCAGTCTCAAAGGAAAAACACTTGCTGTTGATTTAAGTTTGTGGGTTTGTGAAGCACAGACAGTTAAAAAGATGATTGGAGTAGTTACCAAGCCACATCTCAGGTATGGTATCCATATAAATTTTTGCAGCCAAAATTCTTGGAACTGTATAGTTTAGATGTGTTACTTATTCAAAAAATTTTAAGATTACCTATGAAATCCATTTGATGAGTGTATTGATTCAGTTATTGCTTATGTTACATATGTAAAGGCTTTGAGGTGAATTCTAGTTAGACCTCATGGTGAAATAAATATGTTCAAATAATTCTTCAGGCATTTGAACAACCATTACAAATATATGTATTTTTAATTTTTTATTTAAATGACTCACCCGAGTTATGAGCATGTCTAAACCGCTGTAACTTCAAAGCACTGTTTTCTGCAAACAGTGCTGACAAAAATGAAAATGTATACAATTTTTGATCAGTGACATTGGTTATCTCAAGAATACTGAGTTACTGCATGGTGTTATGTGCTTTTGTGACTTCTGTTGAATTGGACGTGATATGAAATATTGGCATCTTCTGAGAATAATTTCTTAATGTATTACGTGCTTATGACCCCAAATGGATAATTAACTATAAAACTTGAAGCATGACCAAAGCTTACCCTTTTTGCACATAGCACCTGTACAAAATTAAATCTAGAGTAATGGTCTCTCCATGTCAGTCAAAGGGACAAATGTTTGAACTACTCCTTTTGAAAGATTGATCCTGGAGATACTGGAAAAAGCATATGCTGTTTGATATTATTGCTCTTAATTTTACTCTTGTGATAAATGTTTGGTCTACTAATGCCTTGCAAAACTCCATCCCTCAGTGATGCTGGTTTGCATATGAAATAAATTGGCCTGGCAGTGGTATCTGTGAGTCTGTCTAATACTACAGCATTCAGTCACTTCAGAATCTGATGTACCTGTACTGATAGATTTGGGATTAATATTTGATATAAAAGAATCAATGTGGGTATGTGTTTGGAAGCAGACTTTGGATATTGAATGGTTTTTTATTAAGCCTTTTAAGTTTGCTTACATCTTTACACCCAAGAAAGATTTTTCTTGACCTTACATAGTATTTTCTTGGGCATTTTGTCAGGCTCTTTACAATTTCATGGTATAGCAACTTCAACCAAAGACAGGGATGTAGGTAAAAGGTTTGTTTATCTTGGGGGCTAGAGAATCATAAGAAGTGGAAGATTGTTCCTGAGGTAGGCTAAGGGATATAAGGAAAATGTTTGAAGAAATCAGGCTTCACTAATAATACAGCTTTGCTTTATTGCAGAAACCTATTTTTTCGGTTCTCTTTCTTCACATCAATGGGAATTAAACTAGTGTTTGTGATGGAAGGAGAGGCCCCCAAGTTGAAAGCAGACACCATGACTAAGAGGAATGAGATGCGCTATGGACCTTCAAAGAAAGTTGGAGCTGCCAGAACAGGGAGATCTTTATTTAAAGCCATGTTAAAAGAGGTGAGGGATCGAGGGCTGTGTTTCAGTATTTTTGATATGATAGAAAGAAATCTTAACCAAATTAAATACAGGAACTTAAAATAATGAATACCATTTGTTACCACCTACACCTGAAGGTGTGAGGTAACTGAGGTTCTTGTTAATGATCCCTTGGGGCAGATTAGAAAGAAAAGACACTGAATGACCAGGGTGTGCATGTGTGTGTATGTATGTGTGTGCCTATATATATATATATATATATATGGCAGGTTTACTCTGGAACAGTTTGGTTGCAATGGAAAGGAGGTGCGTAGCTGTTTTGGTTATTATCTATAGAAATATAACAATATAAAAGTATAAAAATAACAAAATATATAAGGAAAAGAAAAAGAAAGAAGGGATAAGAGTAGATAGTGGAGAGGAAAGATGTCATCATCTGTGGATCCAGAGACAAGACTTGACTGTTGCGATTTAGACGTGCATTGTTTGAAGTGATGGTCGCAGTCCTGATCTGTTGGGGGTGAGGGAAGCCCACACAACAAAAAGTTCAGTGGGTTAATATACATTCAGGGTCAGGTGGGAACGCCCAGGGGTCTTTGGTGATTTATGACACCTTCTAAGACATGACAGCCGCCTCTCACGTCAGTGTAGTTGGTCCAGTTATGCCCTATCAGAAGGGATAATCACCTTCAGGCCTACATGTGAATGTGAGTGTCCCCATGACCTTCCTGGGGTGGGGAGTTTTACGCCTGAGCCAGTTGTGTAAGGGAGGAAAGTGAAGTGATAAAAAGCATTATCCCAGCTCACATATGGCTCAAAAACCAGCTTGTTGCTTAACAAAGGTTTGTCATGGTCATCCTCTGGTGGTGGGTGCACACCCCCTCTGTTTTATGCAAGTCAGAGGTTTCTGCCACCAAAAACTCCCAAGAACCACCCAAAAACTCTCCTCCTTCCCTTCGGTTGGGGCATGCGAACCTGGCTTCAGCAAAGCACCTGCTGCTTTTGCAGCAGACTGTCTGAGTCATCAACCCTTAACATTTCAGTCTCTCACAGCTTTATACACAACAAATTTAAACAGTATTTTGAGATTTGAGGGGACATGCACCTTTGAAGTTGAGCCCTACAGCAAGTGTTCATTGTTGCAGAAAAATTTTCTCATTTGATATGTTCCCATGCATGTTATGCTAGTAGTGAGCAACAGCCATAATTGAGCATTTATTACAGAAATTTAACTTTATTTTTCTTTTATAGTGTTAATATTGATATTCTTTTTATCTCCCTCGTTAACAATTTTTATCTATTCAAAATTTTATGAACTAGAATTTGTAGACACTCATGACTTCAGTAGATTGCACATATCAATTCATTTTTTTATTCTTAAATTCTAAAAAGAATTATTTTTTTTTCTCTGAAATTTGTAAGAAGTATATATGAATATATACCAATGTGTCTTATACCGTGGTCCAGTCTTATGAGGCTGACAGCATTGTATTTTAATGCTTGTTATTCTCGGGAAGTCTGGCACCTGTTGGAAGATGCCTGGTCTAGTTCAGTATTACTGCTTGAGTAAACAGAATTGCTTCACAAAGATAAGTATTCCTTTGTTACTCTTCTTTTGAAAGCATCCTAAATATTTATTTAAAGTGTAAAGATTTTTGTGAAGTAGTGACCATTAATCCTACTGTGTTCAAGTCCTGGAATTAATACTTAGCTCTCTGTTGGATGTTTATTTTCACTGTTAATTATAGTAAACTATTGTTGCTAAAGTAGTGCTTTTATTGATATAGCGTTGTATAGGCAGTGCAACAGTAGCAGCATTTATATGCACTTGTGAGAAAATGCATGCTAATAAGTGAATTTAATAATTCATCATTCAATCTCTCCTTCCTTTTTAGTGTCTTGAACTGCTGGAGTGTTTAGGTGTCCCTTGGGTTCAAGCAGCTGGGGAAGCAGAGGCAATGTGTGCCTACCTGAATGCAAAAGGACATGTTGATGGCTGCATTACCAATGACGGAGATGCCTTCTTATATGGAGCTCAAACAGTTTATAGGAACTTTGCTATGAATGCTAAGGTAATTACCTCATCCTGTTCCCACCCTCTCTAGACTCTTTACAGAAATGTAAATAGAGAAGGGACTTGAAAAAATTACTTAGATATTATTGCACTCGCTCTCTAGTAGTTGGGTTTGTTTAAAATAGTACATTTATGACAGGAGCATTTTGTTTGATTCACCGGCAGTTTGTGTATTGAATGTGAGAGCAAAACTACTGAAACACTTAGGGTAATATTGTCTGTGTTTGTACTGCCCTGTGAAGAGCTAAGTAGCAAACTTTTTTTTCCCCTTTCCTCTTCTACAGCGAAGTTATTGAGTGAAGTAACTGCTTCCTACAAATTTAGCTTTAGACCATGTGGGAGCGCTGAGCCTCTTGCATCTAATAAGTATTCACACACTTCCATCTTGCAATTAATACTATTAGTCCCAATGCAACATGAGTGGGGTAGAGATTGTGCATCTGTGTCATAGGCGATTGTTGTGACAAAAAAACAAATAACTTATGACCTTGAACTGAAGTGTTCATTTATTAATACAGTGTCCCAGAAATGGTGAAACAAAACCCCAAATTTCTGTAATTTATAATGTTCATCGGAAAGACTTGCTGAGAAAATGCGTCAGTAATGTGAGAAAGTCAATAGAACAGAAAAAATGCACTACAAACCATTAACTTCTTAAAAAAATAATTAAAGTTGATGGAAGGTTTTTTGCTTTGATGATACAGCATGCTTTAGTATCTTCCTTGACCTGGTTCTTTTCTTTCATTCAACTTCTTTGTCATTTATCACCAACAATGAAAGCAAGCTCAACCTTCAGGTGTACTTTGTCTACATATATGTCAGCACAAAAAAGTAATTTATGTGAGTGTTTGTCTGTCAGGCCATCTGTTCCAGAAAAATAGATTGCTTTCAGTTGTTGGCTTGTGTAGGAATTTTTTTTGGTCGTTTTTCTGGAAGAGGTGTGTCCTATGTTTTGATTCATGTTAATCTTGTTTTCATGTTGTATTTGAGTCCCTTTACCCTTCAAAGCTTCAGGTGTTTCTTTAGTTCATATCTAATATGCTAGGTAGCATTTTTATTGTATTTCTCCTTTTTTTAATCAAGTAGCAGATTAAAATGTTTACATGTATTTTAAAAACTGCACTTCCCGAGATGACTTGCACAGTCACTAGTACTTGATACTGTTAGTTTTGCCACACTTTTTCTACAGATAGTAAACAGTAAAAACACCTTGAATCAGAATCATAGAATATACTGAGTTGGAAGAGACCCATCAGGATCATCGAGTCCAACTCCTGGTCCTGTGCAGGACACCTCAAGACTCACACCATGTGCCCGAGAGCATTGTACTAACGCTTCCTGAACTCAGACAGGCTTAGGGTGCTGTGACCACTTCCCTGGGGAGGCTATTTCAAAGCTCCAACCAAACCACCCTCTAGGTGTAAAAAACTTCCTGATATCCAACCTAAACCTCCCCTGACACAATTTCAGACCATTCCCTCAGGTCCTGTCACTGGTCACTACAGAGATCAGTATCTGCCCCTTTACTTCCCCTCACGAGGAAGTTGTAACTGCAGTGAGGTCTCCCCTCAGTCCCTCTTCTCCAGGCTGAACAGACCAAGTGACCTCAGCTGCTTCTCATACGGCTTCCCCTCCAGAACCTTCACTGTCCTTGTTGCTGTGCTTTGGACACTAACACCTTAATGTCTTTCTTACATTGTGGTGTGCAAAACTGCCACAATATTCAAGCTGAGGCCACCCCAGTGCAGAGCAGAACGGGACACTCCCCTCCCTTGACTGGCTGGTGATGCTTTGCCTGATGTCCCCCAGGACACGATTGGCCCTCCTGGCTGCCAGGGCACTGCTGACTCATATTCAACTTGCCACTGACCAGGACCCCCAGGTCCTTTCCTCAATTCTGCTCTCCAGCCTCTCGTTTCCCAGTCTATACACACAACCAGGGTTGCCCTGTCCCAGGTGCAGAATCTGGCACTTGCCCTTGTTGAACTTCATGTGATTGGTGATTGCACATCTTCCTGATTTGTCAAGGTTTCTCTGCAGGGCCTCTCTGTCCGTAAGAGTGTTGACAGCTCCTCTCAATTTAGTGTCATCAGCAAACTGACTTAGTATTCCTTCAAGTCCTGAGTCCAAGTGGTTAATGAAGAAGTTGAAGAGAACTGGGCCAAGGATGGAGCCCTTGGGAACCCCACTAGTATCAGGTCACCAGTCTAATGTAACTCTTTGTGCCTGACCTGTGAGCCAGCTGCTCACCCATCGCATAACGTGGTTATTCAGCTGTATGCTGGATCTCTTGGCTTATTTTACTTTCTTTCAACAGTTGATGCCCATACTTAGAACTTTAAGTTCCAGAATTTTTAATTCATGTGGTATCCATGCATTACATTATGAATTTTAATTGCAGGGGTTTTTTTGCTGTTAGACCTCTCTTATGGGATAGACCCATTTCCTGCAGATGTGAGTGAATAGGAGTGGGAATGACAACTAAATGTGACTCAGTGCAGTTCTTTCTGTCATGTACCAGAAATAATATGCAATAAATTCCTCTTGCAGGATCCACATCTCGACTGTTACACAATGTCGTCTATTAAGGAGAAACTTGGTTGTGACAGAGAGTCTTTGATTGGGCTAGCTGTTCTGCTGGGTTGTGATTATCTTCCAAAAGTAAGCAATATAATTATTTTTTATTAGGTGCTTATACTGTCTTGAAAAACAATAAACTGTATCAAGGGAGACGTGCATGCTGACAAAGCTTTATGCAACGTACAATTAATGAGATCTAGTTGAAGAAGATCCTTAGTAAAGCACTGTAATTTTTTTTTGAAAGGTTAATCAAAATAGTTCATGAACACCAATCTTTCTAAAATGTTTTTGTATTATTCCAAACCTTTTCTATGGTGGAGATGAAGGCAAAAGTTTAGATGTTGATTATATTGAGCCAAGGTGTGAGAACTCCATTGTTTGTGAGGATCCCTTACACAATTACATCCCTGGCAGAGTAGCTGTGGAAAAATGAGAAAAACAGCTTTGTCTGTGCTGTTTGGAAGACTCAGTAGTGATAGTTTGGAGCTGTATTTATTAATAAAGGCAGTTCTGGATGCAGTTCAGATGTATCCCTATTCCATTGTTTGTAAATATATAATTTATGAAGAAGTAGAAGTGATCTATTTGAAAGTTTACCTAATTAATCAAGAGGAATGTCACTCAGTACTACTTCATTTGTTTCTTTCTTTTTTTCTCTTTTTTTTCTGTAAGCTCTTGAAATCTTTTTTGAGACTTTGAACAGAAGCTGTTGTAATGGCTATTTGAAAGGGAAAGGCAGTGGGATGAAACCTGATTTTCATACAGTTTGTCATTTAGTGACTTCGGGCAATGGTTGCTCCCCTTCAGGCTTGCATTGGATATCTAATTTTTCTTAAATCACTGTGTTACAGTTTGATAAAGCTGTTCTTTTAAACTACTGATACTGCTGAAAGAACACAAAACTCTCATTACTTTTGTCTGGATGTGTTTTTTTAAAATCTTGTTTCTGTTATAGGAATCTTTAAATAGTTTGTTACTACTGTATAGAGACAGAGAGAGAGAAAAAGTGGATAATCAGTGGTTATTGCAATGGAGCAGCTCCTTGAATGCCCTGTTCTTACATAGTCCCAAAGTGTTAGATAGGTCCTTTGAGTTTTTGCTGCCCAGTGAAGTAGATGAAGACAGAAACTTGTAAGGAAAACTGAATTACAGGAGTACATTGAGAATGAGGATTGGCAGAACAGGTAAATGAGAATACCACTCTATAATTGCACTTACTTTTTTGAAAATGTATGAAGATAATGGTTTTCTTGGAGAAGCTGAATATCTGACTCTTACCTGAATGTCTGGCTGTAGTCTAATGAGAACTTGGTTTGGAATGTAGATTTATTTTGTATGGTTGAGTGTATTCAGTTCTGCCATTACAGCTGAATAAAAAGAAGCATAGATTTATTTGTAATGATGTTGTAGAAAACACACTTAATACAATCTTTATATTCAGCTGTACTGATTCTTGGAAAAATAGAGGAAGGATGGAAAGAGGAACTATAAAGCAATATGTGTGTTTTAAATTATGGAATGATACCATAGTTTGGGTTGGAAGGGACCTCTGAAGTTCACTTAGTCCAGCCCTTCTGCAGTGAGAGGGAGATCTTCAACTAGACCAAGTCACTCAGAGCCCCGTCCAACCTGACCTTGAATGTTTCCAGAATGGGGCATCCACCACTTCTGGGCAATGTGTGCCAGTGTTTCACCACTGTCATTGTAACCTCTTCCTTGTTATCTATTCTGGATCTAATTTCTTTTAGTTTACTATTGCTTTCTCCTTCTTTCTCTGCCTTATTTTACCTGAGGTGCTATTGAGCATTAGAACATTTTATGCAGCTTGTGTGTTACAGTGGCAGTACAACTGTAACCTGTCACCTTCTCTGCCCTTAGAACTTGGTCAAAAATATTTTTCTCAATTTGTTCTCAATATCTGAGATCACTTTTGTAATTTGTCTACATAATGATATGAAGGTGTTTTTTGTGAAAATATGAATATTTTGGTCAAAATTATGTAATGTTTCATGTTTCTCTATAGGGGGTTCCAGGAGTTGGGAAGGAACAAGCTTTAAAGTTAATTGAGACTCTGCGAGGTCAAAATTTACTGCAAAGGTAAAATGGAAATTTACGTAAGTACTTTGGTTTCATTCAAAGACTGAATAGTATGCACTTCAGCTCTGAGACAACATTTGTAGTACTTCAATTTAGGGAGGGTATTACCACGTTCCTTGTGTTTGTGAAAGGAATTGGGTGCTGTGCTAGGAAAGCTTCTTAATAGTTTTAAACATTAGCTGGCTCATAGGTTTGAGATAGCAGGTGTATGTTGGTAAATTGGAAAGAAAGTCATAGGGACTGATGAGAGACTTTTGCTGATTTTTAATGGGTTGTGGATTTGAAGATTTGAGATACTGAGTGCTTTCTATGTTTGTTATCATAATGTGTGTGTCAATACTAGAAATCCAACAATTATATGACATACTGTAAAAGAACCCTGTTCTACCCCTGTAGATTGGAAAACTGTGTTTCTTGGATAGATGCCAGAGAAGTATAAAGAGTATTTTTCAGTGTTTTAATGTGGAAGTTAAAAATATTTCTTGATCCTTTTAGGTTTGATCAGTGGAAAGAACAATTCCAGTATGATGATAATCCACTTTTGGTTGTTAAAAGGGTAATTCACTGTTCAGAGTGCCACCATCCAGGTCAGTGTAAAAAGGGCTGAATTTTATTTTTGGCCCAATTGTTTATTTTTTTATTGTGGTGTAGGGGTGACTTTTGGTTGTTTGATTGATTGGGTTATGGTTGCTTTTTTTTTTAATTACTAGCATTAAAATTTGCTTTTCAGCTTCTGGCCCATCTTCACATTTTCAATATTGTATATATTTAGCTTTGTATAAATACTTTTAAGGCTTGGAACTGGTTTTCTTCAAATATGAAACTAGTTGATGGCAGATGGAATATTATCACAATGCTGTTGTGGAATCCCAGATATTTGTCTTTTTAACATTTTCATTAAAGAAAGTATGCTGTACTGCCCAGCAACTATTTCTTTAGTTGCCTGAATTGGTCCTGCATCAAGGGGACCGAATCCCATTAGCATTGATGGGTTTTGCTGCAGAGTTTTCATAAAAAGCTATTAATCCTAAGGAACCTTGTTTTGGAAGCATTTTTGATCAGTGAACTCCTTCAAACCCAGCATTTGGTGAAAGAAAACTTCTTTCAAATATATAAGTAATATATGTTTGCCAGGTTATCACACACTTCTTCTATAATAGTTTTAGGTAAAGTAAACTATTACTTAGGTGATAGTTTTCAGCATAAGGTCTGAAACAGTTGAGGGAAAAAGTCTTCAAAAAATGGCATCTTGCATGTATTTGTCAGTTTTTACTGTATACAGAAATGCAGCTGGTGCACTCAATCTGCTTACAGCTGCTATTCACATCAGATTCATATGTGTTCTCAGCTTTGTATTTGTAATATTGGCTTTATATATTTTGAAATTTTGGAAATGCTTTTTCTCCTCACTTTGTGTTTCTGCTGCTATAGGATCATACAAGGAGCACGAGCACAGTGGATGTAAATTCTGTGAAAGCAAAAGATACTGCAAACCCAGTGACTCCAAACACTGCCCTTGTGAATGGCATCAGTTAGAGCAAGTGAAACAAGCAAATGCCGTGGAGGACAATATCAGAAAGTAGGAATGTCTTGAAAATTGAACTGCTTTTCTCTGTGTTCATGTGCAGGGTGATCATTTAGATTCTGCATCTTTCCCATTTCTCTTCAGTTCTTAACACATTTGTTTTACCTGCAGAAAAGCTAAGAGCTGTGAAGGCTTTCCATTCTCTGAGGTAACAAACATAATTTAAATATTCTTTTTTTAATTAATTAATTGGAATTTAAATATTCAGCCCTCTCTTAAACTGTCTCTTTTTTGTTTTATCTCAAGGTTATCCAAGAATTTCTAGTAAACAAGAATAAATTGATCAACATAAAGGAATATCGAAGGCCAAATTTGTTGTCCTTTCAGGTATATAACAGAATACTGGATATTCAGCTTTGTAGTTTTTTGTTTATTACTAAGGAAGGCATTTCTGATAATTGTCATCCTCATTAGTAACCTTACTGGAAATAAGAATCTTGCTACAACATCTTAATGTTTGAAAGCCTAAAATTGTAAAGCTGATCTTAATCTGACAAGGTGTTTAACAACTGTCTCATTCCTGCTGCTGCCACTACACAACTGTGTTTCCTTGGCTTGCCATTGAGATCTGAAGAATCTGCCACTGTTAGGGATGACTCTTGTCAGTGATGTATCATTGGGAATTACACTAAAGTATAAAAACACTCTAGATATTTTAAGTCTTTAGTCCCGTGTCCCTACTACATAACTGGCTAAGCATGGTATCTAACAGAATAAAAAAAGTTTCAAAGTTTGAGGGTTTTTTTTATACTAACAGATATTTGCTTCAGAGAAGATGGAATGGGACAAACATTATGCTTGTAAGAAACTGTTAGCACTGTTGACACGTTATGATATGATCCAGAGAAAATCTGGATACACTGACTCGAAACAACTGCAGGCAATAAGGTAATGTAGTTTGATTTCTTGAACTTAATATGTTGACTTCTGCTCCCAGATAAAAAAAGAAAAAACCCTGTGTTTTTTATGGAAATATGGTTTTCTTCCAGCTTTGTTTCAAGCTCTGTGCTCATTTTGAATAGAGGTAAAAATTTAGATAGGTGCACCAATTGTTATATTACTGCTGCACAAAATAATCCACAGTATAGTTGCCTTTCATTCTAAATGGCAGTGCCTGTGTTTTCCTGTACTTACTTTCTGTTCTGTTTCCTTGGATCTGCACATGAGTTTTAGCCTTAGAGGTTAGATCCTCTGCTCAGGTTCTAAGCAGAAGTTGAATTGAGTTCTGTGGTTCATAATAAGAGCCCAGGTTTAGAAATGAGCATCTGCAGGTTCATTTGTGGTCTCTGATTTGTTATAAGACCTGCCAACTGTTGTACTATATATATATACAAAACTACTTTTCACTCAGGACCCCTGCATTTAGGAATACAAAAATGGCCAACGATCCTGTTACAAAAAATTGACGTGCAGGGGAGAAAAGCAAGATAAGCATGTAATTATTTTCCCACAGAATATTTTCCCACCATCCAGGCTTCTGTTACTCAGGGATTTTCTGAGCCAGAATTAGGATCTTCTTATTCTATCAGCCCTTGGTGTAATTTATTTTTTTAATGATCTAATATTTTCTTAAACTTAAGTAAACTTCTAGAATCTACAGTGTCTGTTGGCAAGTTTCAACTTCACTGTGTAAAGAGAATTCTTATTTATTTTAACTTTATCTGATGGTTTCATTTCCCAAATGAAACCGAAATTCCTCCTGTCCCTAATTCTTGTATTACAAGAAGGTTAGTATCTTTTCTGTGTTCCTTGATGCTGGTCAAGATTTTTAGACATTAATTTTGGGGGACAGGAGGACAGTCAGTAGCAGTGTGATAATATCTCTGCTGGGTTGATGTGTCCTAGTCTTAAATTATTACTTTCAGAGAAGCTGTTTTATTCAATGTTATCTTTCAAAAGATTGGAGAGACTGGTTGGGGGATGTTTTTTGAACAGATTGGCAAGATAAATTACTAGCATTTACCTTGATGAATGAACTCACTGACATTCTTTATAACACTTTCTAGTGTTTCAACAGTTTAAAAGACAGATAATGTGTGCTCTAGAAGATTTCTTTTGTTAACAAAGTGTTTAAAAATGCAGTAATGGTTCAGCAGGATCAGCATGATCCTACTCTTGACATCTGGAACCTACTAAATTTGGGTATAGATAATGTTTTTAAAAAAATGTCAGTGACTGACTGTCCCTGCTCAGCTCATGTTTTATTTTCCCTCATCCTCTCACACAAAAGATACGAATGACCCTGGCTGGTCATTCAGAAAGTTACTGTCTATGGCAACAGCCTTCTCTGGCATTAGTATCTTAAAATCATTGAATTGCTTAGGTTGGAGAAGGCCTCTAAGATCATCAGGTCTAACCATTGACCTGGCACTGAAAAGTCCACCAGTAAATTGTGTCCCTCAGTGCCGCACCTACAAATGTTTTAAATTGAAGGGATGGTGGCTCAACCACTACCCTGGGCAGTCTGTTCCACTACTTGACCACCCTTTCTGTGAAGAAATTTTTCTTAATATCCAATCTAAACCTCCTCTGGGACAACTTGAGGATGTTTCCTCTTGTCTTGTCAGTGGTTATTTGGGAGAAGAGACTGACCCCCACCTCCCTACAACCTTCTTTCAGAGTGTTGTAGAGAGTGACAAGGTCCTCACTGAGCCTCCTTTTCTCCAGGCTAAACACTCCCAGCTACATCAACTGCTCCTCAAGGGACTTTTGCTCCAGAGCCTTCATCAGCTCTGTTGCCCTTCTCTGGACGTGCTCCAGCACCTCTGTGTCTTTCTCGTACTGAGGACCCCAGAAATGGACACAGGACTCGAGGTGTGGCCCCACCAGTGCCATAGAGGGACAATCACTGCCCTCGTCCTGCTGGCCACACTATTGCTGATCCAAGCCAGGATGCCATTGACCAAAGTACAGAACCCAGCACTTGGTTTTTTTGAACTTATAGAACTGGCCTTGGACAATGGATCCAAGCTGTCCAGATCCCTCTGCGGAGCCTTCCTGCCCTCCGGCAGATCAACACTCACACCCAACTTGGTGTCATCTGCAAACTCACTGAAGGTGGTCTCAATCCCCTTGTTCGGATCACTAATAGAGATGTTAAACAGGACTGGCCCCAGTAGTGAGTCCTGGAGAGCCCCACTAGTGACCAGCCACCAACTGGATGTAACTCCATTCACCGCCACTCTGGGCCCATCCATCCATCCAGTTTTTTACCCAGTGCATTCATCCCAGCCACGAGCATCTGGTTTCCTCAAGGGAAAGCTGTGGGAAATGGCATCAAAGGTTTTACTAAAGTGTAGGCAGACAACATCCACAGCCTTTCCCTCATCCCCTCCCATAGTAGAAGGAGATGAGATTGGTCAAGAAGGACCTGCCTTTGAGGCAGGTCAGCTGAAGATACAAAACTGATGTAGGAGTCTGCCTTATGTTTATATGCTACAGAAAAGCTTTTTGATTATGTGTAAATGCTCTTCCGAGCATTAAAAAACTCCAAAAATTTTTAGTACTTGAATCTATACCCCAAATTTTACTGTATAACTTATACAGAGTAGTGTATTTTTAAAGATATAGTAATTTCACTATAACAGAAAGATTTTGTGCTCTGAATCATTTCAAATTAGAATATTGAAACATTTCTAGATAGGTTAGATATTTTTCATTTCCTGTTCAAAATCATTTAATAGACTTTGTCTTCTTACAGGATTGTCAAGACACGTGTTAAAAATGGATCACCTTGTTTTGAAATTGAGTGGCAAAAACCAGGTGGGTGTGGTTTCTATGTACATTATGGGACAAAACAGTTCACAGAAAAAGATAAAAGCATGCTTTAAAGAGAGAAGAGCTTGACAACACTCTGAGCCAATGATATGTTGGTGAGATTAGAAAGTGTTCTATGGAAACAGTAGAAAATGCGCATCAAATTTCACATACCCTGAAAGTGAAAGCAATGCTTGAAAGAGAAAAAGAAATCTACCCAGAAAGCAAGGGACTTGGTCTGTCTTCAGCTACTTTTTCTGGTACATGTTAATGAGACCTGAACTGAAGGTCTCACTGTGTACCTGAAGCTGTGACTGTTTACTAGCTAGAACATTTTCTATGCTGCCAGACTCCTACCTGCAGTGAGCCCATTTGTGCCAGGAGACTGACAGAAAGAGAAAGACTTCACTTGTAGGTAAATCTCAAATATTGTACTATTGACATTTTTATGTGTCTTTGTACTCAAATCTTTTGTTCTTTGGTTTTTCATTCCCTGCTTTGAGTTGTGTGTATACACATGTCAAAAGTACATTCATTAATTTTTCAGAGCACTATATTGATCCAGAAGATGAGCCTGTGGAATCATTTGTAGTCACAGTAGAAGAGGAGTCTTTGTTTCAGGCTGCTTATCCTGATGTTGTTGCCCTTTATCAACTGGAAAAGTCAGAAGTTCTTCAGAAGAAAAAGAAAAGTAAGTACAAAAGTTTATTTCTTATGAACTTGTGTGTCTTGCCAGAATACAAAAAGCAAAAGCAAAAAACATTTCTCCTACTGTTGATCGATATCATGTTTTGTCAAGATGAGAACATGATACCTTACAGGCACTATGCTTTAGTCTTACTATTTTATACTTTAGCACTAGGAAATCCTAACTGTGGTTTATATGCTATTTGAAATACCCTTTTGTTTTGTTTTTTTTTAGAAGGGAAAGGCAGACCAGAAGAAAAGGATATATCAAGTGCTTATGATGAAGTTAGCAATCTTCTGTCCCAAATTAGTTTAAAATCTACGTATGGAATTCTTCCTGTGCAACACTCCACATCAGATACAAAACCTCCCCCCAAACATCAGACACAGCAGAGAGGTAATGAATCAAAAGATGCAGCATTAGCTGCAGCTTCCTGCAGAACAAGTGTTTGGGTGCCAGCATCAGCAGCTGCTCCTCCTCTGCCTGCATCATCCTACTTACAGAGTGCTTTGGCTGACTCAGTTGTGTTGCCCTCACAATGTGCCAAACATTCAGGGATATCATCCTCTTCCTCTGTAACAGCTGGTCTACAACTGAGCAGTGTTGATGGGAAAGGAACCTTCTTCAGCACTTCACCAGCCCAGGGAGGTGATGACCGAAATCCAGCAGCTGACTTAACTACATGCATAGAACATTCACATCCACTAGGTCATGAAACAGCAAGAAATAGCTCAGAATATTCTGGTGCTGTGCAGTCTCATCGACATTCTGATAGTGCAGATGATTTGTTTTCAAATGATGCTACAGGACACCTTCAGGAGTGGTCTTTAAGAGAGAGAATACTTAGGAAGACTTCCATTCCATCACTGCCTTTGTCTGAAGATGCAATGCAACAGGAATCTTTGAAATGTTTTAAACAAACAAAAGAAATGTTGAATCCTGATAGAAATTATGTCTCTTCTTCATATCAGTTAAATAAACTAGTGCAGGAAAGTAAAAATGTGCTATCAGAAAACTGTGCAAGTGAATCCAGCGTACATATCTGTCAAGATCAGTACAGAAAAGCTGACATCTTGGCTGAAATGATGCTAAAAGACCATCATGTAAGTGGTTCAACATCTCTAGCCCTCAATGGGCAAACAAGAGAAACACTGCATCCTGGGTGTGAGATGCTTCCAGTGTCTCAAAAGCCAGCAGATGCAACTGGCTGTCACATTAAAAAAGCTTGTATTGAAACTACTTGGAAAGCTTCTTCTAAAAAGAGTGTGTGTCAGAACAGACATTCTTCTAGTGAAGACAGTGATGATGGGCATGTGAATAAAATCCTGATTTATGAGCAGCAGAAAAAGCAACTGAACCCTGGTCAGTTTAAAAAATGTTTTACAAAGAAAAATAGTAGCGTTGTTACTAGCAAAAGGACAAACAGTGACTCAGCCCTTATAACTAAAGGGAAGAAGACAACAACCAATTTAAAGAAAGCTGATGATACTTTCTCATTGCAGGGATGTCCAAAGCCATCCTCTGTAGGGGAAGTTAATTGTTCCCAAAGTTCAGAGCAACCAATTAAGAGGCTGGGTTCTGACCCCACACAGCAAGACAGAAGTGCTGTTCTGACTTACAGATGGGCAGACAGTCCCCTTCCCCTGTCTGAAAGACTAAAAGGAAGAATCAAAATCAATTAGGTTCTCCATAAAATAACAATTAACTATGAACCATCATTTCTTAGAGTTCTTTCTCAAAGTTTCTGCAGTATGCTCTATCAAAGTTTCTCCAATATGCTCTATCAATTTTATGTGGACACAGTTTTGATGAATAAGTGCTGTTACTGGAGCTGAAGTTTGAAACTAAAATGTTAACAAAAGTACCAAACAGCTGATTGTGGGCAAGTGCCAGTTATTCTGGACATGGTTACTTTCTGAACTTGATACATAAGCATCAAGACGCAGCATGTAAGGAAGCAGGGAGATTTATTTATGAAATAAGGCTTTTTTTCCCAGCCAGTTGTGAGGATTTTTGTATTAGTCTTGCTTATATAAACAGACTTATTAAAATAGTGCCTGCAGTACTTTGGATACTCTTAATAAGACAAAGTGATGCAGCTCTTTTCAAATAGAATTCTGCATTTTGCTTCACTAACCTAATTTTGCAGGTTTTAAAATGGGTCCTGCAATTCTGCTTGTGTTGACAGTCTCTGAAGGACCACATAGAGACACACAGCAGATGTACCTTGCAGGGTAGCTAAGTTAATATCTGCCATGACCAATAATAAGCTGTTCTTTGAGTGTGTGCATCTTCCAAAGAGTGGAATAAGCTATAAGGATCATTCTGGTTTTGTAGCAGTTATATATATACTATATATAAGGAAATTTGATGGCTGTTTAATTAAGCATTTGTAGTTTGGGGCATATTTTCTTAAAGAAGATTGAAATTCCATCTAACACAATTTATAATAGAGTGAAAGTTAAGTTGCAGAAAATCTAATTATGGCATTGCAGATTCTGTGAACAATATCGTGTAATTTTTTTTTTTAAATTAGTAACTTGAGTGCAATTACAATTTTGAAGGTGCTCTTCACACTTCTTTATTATAGAAATAATCTCTGTTCATACACCAGAAAAAGTTGTCTTCAACAGCTTATTAGGAATGCCTCCTTATCTACATTTAAGCATTTGTAACTTTTTCTATGCACCGTCCAGAAGGGAGGCCACACTTGGCAAGATATATTGTTAATAGTAGAAATTTAGAATATCTGTGCCTGAATGAAAATGTCAGTTCTTTATTCATAAAGGTCAAGGACCAAGTTCAGAAGCTAAATTCCAGGTCTATAGATAATATAATTAGCCAAAATAGTAGTTTCTTAGTTTTCTCTGTAGGTAGAGGGAGACAATTTATTTATAGTTGATTTTCCAAATGAGATGTATTGTGGAAACAAGCAAAAAATCGAAAATATTGGAAACTTATTTTCAGTTTTGAAAATGGTCTCTCTCTTTTGGAGACCCTAAAGCACTCAGCTGATGTGAGAGGGTAGCTAGAAGAGTAGTATTGTGAAGGAGAATAACAGTAGCGGTCACCTGGGGACTGTAAATGGAGAGATTCATAGCATCACACAATGGGTTTGGGTTGGAAGGAACCTTAAATATCATCTAGTTCCAACCCTCCTGCCATGATCAGGGAACCATTCCTTACGCAGTGGTGAGAAATGAAGAGATCTGAGTAGAGGTTTTTTTGTGAGCAAACGTTATCGGTTACGTATTATTTTTTTTCCTTGCTGATAATTTTGAATACTGAACACTAGAATCAAGAGTATGAATTTTCATTAATAAAAATGCCAATATCACGTGAATTACCTCACTTTTGTTCTTTCCCAGAGTATGGGAATGTGCTCTTTTGTTGGGGAGCTCATACAATTGCACCCATGGTGTGTGAATTTCTGTGGTTTAGAACTTTCTTTAGAATTAGGAGGCCAGAGTGGTTTTTGGAGGGATTTTTGTTTGTTTTCCAAATCTACTTGGGATGACTGCTTTAATGGATGATTTGCTGAAAATACTGTGCCAGAATTATGACAAGTTCATGTTTTGTCGATGGAAATCAGAAGTGAGATATAATCATAAGATATTAAGAAGTGCGGAGAAAAAAAAAATGTTGTTCATTATTGCTACTAATTAACCTGATTTCACAAGTACAGTTCAAGCATGAAAAGCAGAAAATGTTCAATTTTTTTTCATATGCAATGCATCCTAATTTTGTCTTCTGCCACTACTTTAGAAGCAACAACAGATGTGAAAAAAACCTTTGGAGGATGCCCTCTCTAGGCTGTAGCTGCTCATGGCAGCAAATAAAATCATTTATCATTGGGGTGACTGTTGCTTGAATTAAACCTGTGATTCGTAACAGAAGGGTAATTACAGTTTTTAAAGTGTTTTGGTTTCTCCTCTTTATGTAATTTACTCAATCTAAGGATTAGGGATGATTTTTTTTTTTTTGGAGCTTTTTACTGTGCTGACTGCTTTGCAGCCTCTCACACTCGTGAGAATGATGTTAAAATGGAGGGGGCGTAACATAACTTTCTTCTGCAGGAAATATTTCTACAAAATTATGTTAAACTGCCTGTAAGAATAAATCAATGTGATTCATCAGCCTGATGAGCCTGAATAGATTTTCATTTATCATCTGTCCTGGGCAGCCCAAATAGGTTCTATCAGGGTGCTTCATCTAAAGTAATAAAAATATACCAACTGTGGGAGTGGGGTAGGTAAAGGGCATGTTGTTCTTCAAGTACTTGTCTGAAAAGTTTTCTGCACCTACTACTGTTATTCTGCTAGTAAAGTACTCTACTAAAGAGAACTGTCAGTACTATCAGTCCTGATGTTGGCACCCCTCTAGCTTGAATGATTTCTGCAGAGACATAGAGCAGAGCCGTAGGGTCTGTCTTAGCAGTATAAATATCATTATTTCCACTTATAAACAGTATTAAACTTCAGTTAAAGGCAGCAAATTCTTTTAGCATAGGGAAACATTTACTTGGCATTCCTTAGGATTGTAACCCACTGTTTCAGATTCATGGGGGATCAACAATAAAGGGAAATAAACGCTGCTTACATGGAATATATACATAGGGAGCTAGAAAAAATGTAAAAAAGACCACCTCTCAATATCTCTCTCACTGTCATTTTTGTATTAGCAGAGATTATTGAAATGCTTATCTATATGTGTGAACCTACTTAACAAAAGGAAAAATTTGATGAACACAGTAAATCTTTTGCTAGTTAACAGAGAAATTTTGTAGTTTGAGAAGGGGATTATTTAACTTTGAGGATTTGCACAGGCTTGGCTCTATGGTCTTTTGTCAAGAAAGATTCTTGGAAATGGAGTGGTGAAAGAGACTAATGGCAGCTGTTACTTGAGACAAGATAGTCTTTTCATGTCTAAAAAGGTGTCAGACCCTGCCATATTATATCAGCAGATAAAAGGAAGCTGTGGTTAGAATATTACTGAGAGTTGTTATAAACCCAAGTGCTACTGACGAAACAGTAAACTGGGCGCTAGATTTAGCACTTTCTCCTTCAGGAAACAAAACACTTTAACTGCTTCAAGAAAACAAAATTACGATGGGTGACAGAACCATGGCACTGTTCTCTTGCTCATGTATCCTTCATTGTAGCAACTATCAGCACTAAACTTAACTTAGGATTATTCACACATCAAACTTTGAAAGTTCAGTATTCACAGCCTTGTCTCAATCCCCCACCCCAGTTTCCCTTGACCAAGTTTTAGAGGTTTTGTCATTTCAGAGACTGAGCACAGCTGGGGAAAGGGACATACCTTTGAAAATTTTGCTCACTGAAAACAGGCTACCTATACTAAAATTCCACCTAATGGATACTTAAATTTAGTTATCTGCCTGAATAAAAATTAATGAAGGAAAAGAAGTTAATCAGGGATATTTTTAATGCCAAGCTAGGGTAGAAGTAGCTGTACATTAGCATTTGTTATTTTAATATCTTAATTTTAAAATGCAATTTGCTCTGCTACAGCACCTCCACTGCCAAGCTTGAAGCCAACTTAATTATCCTACCAAATATTTCTGACAAGGTTGGATCTGTGGCAAGCTATGGGTATTCTTTGGGACATAGTGGGAGGAACTGTGAGCATTGTCCTCTTTGAACAAACTTGTGGGCAAATGAATGCCTACATGCTCTCTTCTTCCTCCATCCTAACATCCTAGTGTTGTCCTGGCAGTGACACCACATAAAATATAACAGACAGACAAGATAGGTCCAACCCTAGAGACTGTCCAAGTTTTATCTGCTGCAAAAACAGGAAATTTGTGGCCCTGCTTCAGGTTAAATTCAGGCTGTCTTCCAGTCTGACATGAATGCCAGGTCTCAGAGCAGCTTTAGCCTTTAAGCCTCTCTGTCTCTCAGCCCCACTGCAATGTGTTGTAGATGTTTTCTTTGAATCTTCTGCACTGGAGAGCTAAATGCTCTGCAGCTGGATAGGAAAGAGCCCTGAGCTGAGGCTCAAAATCCCCAAATCCTGGAGCTGGACGGAACAAAGGAGTGACAGCCACATGCGTAGCTACTCTACAGGGGCTTTATAGGACTTTTCATCCAGACTAATGTGTTCCTAGTTTTCCTAATTATTGAATGACCTCTTTATGAAATCAAACCTACCAGTCAGATGTGTGGAAGATAATCTGATTTCTTTTAATTAGCGTCATCCCTTCCTGAAGGAAAGAAAACGGCAGTGGCTCTGCTGACAGTCAGCTGGTCAACCCACTCACTTGTGCTTCCCTAAGCTGTGTTACAGGCTGTCTTTAGCTGTCAGTCAGACCAAAAAGCATAGAGGATGCAGGAGGGGTACATGAGGATGTAAAGGTTTTGCCTCGAGGGGTTATCAAAAACCCACGAAAGGTGCTGTCGATACTACAGAGAAGTTTTGGAGATGCAGCAGAAGAGGAGGAGATACGACAGTGAGGTGACGTAGGGCATATATGAATCCTGAGTTCCCAAGCACTTGTGTTGCCAGTTTTGGTATAACTTCACAGGAAATCCCAAGACATGCAGATCAGCAGCTCTGCCTTGGTACAAACCTGTGCCAAACTGTTGTCCTCCCTGTGGCTCCTACCATAATTTTTAATGAGGCAAGTATTGCCCAACATCTACTCCTGCTTTTCTATTACCTTTCTAACCTAAAAATACAGGCTTTTACAGCATGGTTTCAGATAGTGGTTTGTGTTCTCTATGTGTTTATTATTTATCATGAGATATGTGGGATTTGTAGGTGTTCTAACCATCAAGTCCAAGTGAAGGTGATGGGTTTGCACCCACGCATCTCCCAGCATAAATACACCTTTGTTCTGGTCTCTACTGAAATGCCAGAGGACATCCAAGGGGACGTCACTGTTTCCCAGACTTTTCTTTGTTTACCTTTCTGAAAATCCCTAATCTTACTGCTTATAGATTGCTTAGAATTTGCAAGGTAGGTATTTGAAAAAAGTCATAGCCTCATGATTTTTGTTTGTGATTTCTAAAGAAATACTGTTTTCAGTTGATAATAATTTTTAAAAAGCCACTAGTCCTTTGCTTGTTCTCTTATCTATAGGCCCATCACTGAGGTCTTAGGGAGAGAATATTCCTCTCGCCACATTGATAATCTGAAGGATATAACTATAAAATGGGCATGTAGTTCTGGCATTGAAAATGTTTGAATTTTTACACAGAAGTGAACGAATCCATCAAGAATATTATATTCCTTCCAATAATAATGATATCTTGCAAGAACTTCTGTGTGATAGCATATTTATCTTGTAAGATACCAGCAACAGAAGTGTGGTTTTTTTTTTCTCTCTTACTACAAAACCAAATATTTTGTGCTGGGAGGACACTTTATGAAGATGTTTGATGAGCTCAGGGTCCCCAGCCAGCTCCCCTCAGACATCAGCTTGTCCACCCTGACAAGCAGCATGTCCTCTTTCAATTTCCCAATAAAGTTCACTTAGCAAAACATCTCTGCAAGTGTTCGTTAAATGAAATAGCGTGATAGGATTTCCCCTTATAAATAAAGTATAGTGCAATTGTGGAAGTTTGTAACTCTTGCTCTTCTAGTCAACTGGATTGATCAAATATTATATCACTGAAACTATCTATATAAAAAAAATACAAAACAAAACAAAAAAACCCCCAAACAACAAGACTTAGTACTTTTTAAGAAATTAATTATGTTTTCAGAATGAGAACCTAAAATAAAGGTGGGTACAGCATCTATCTGGAGAGCATACAGTTTAGGAAGTGCTCATCAAAAAAATTCCCCGA